CACATGAAACAGTAACAATATTTCATACACAATACGAACAACAAGAACAAGAAACTGAGCAGATATTCTAAAATAAATAATATTGCATACAACATCCCTGACATCCTTACCCCTAAACTGTAACAATATATTTGATACTTTGATCTTGTGTGTGTCTGATAGTGCAGTAAAATTAAATTAACGTATTCCTAAAAAAGGTTGCGATCATTTTTTAAAGAAGGATTGTGGATTTTTAATCAAAATTGATCGTGAAAGATCAGGCAACGCGTTATTGTGATCGTGAAAGCAATGCGTGACTAGACAAGACTGAATTAGTTTTTTTTATTCGTTGAAGGCCGTACTATGACCTATCCATGCTTACGACTCAGGATTGTTGTCTAATTGGCAATTATACCACATCTTCTTTTTTTTTTAAATTATAATGAGACAAATATTTTTGGCATTGGTGTACTGTAGCTGATTGAACGTGTGATGTTTTGGTTTAATCGACTACAGCCTTATTTCATACAAAACCTTTCTAAAACACTCAATGAAAAAAATAATACTTATTATATTTATATTTATATACAAGAAGTACTTCTGTGGTCATTCACAGAGGAAAAATATACACAATTGATGTTAAAAGTCTAGCTCTTTCTGATCATAAATGAATGAGAACAGTTTAATTTATATATCTAAATACATATTTAATTTGTTATCATTTAAGAAGCACACATAACTAGACATCAGGATAATAAGGTCACCTGGAGCCTAACTTGTCCAAAAATAAATATCTTTGTATCTATAATGTGAAATGCATTTGCGAATGCGCCAAGTGAGAGGGGTTCTTGGGCTCTTCCCTGGAAATATATTGAATGCGTACGCATTTATATATGTTATAGTACCCAACTAGTGGTGAAAATTCCAAGTTTCGTACCTCGGGTGTGGCTGTATTTTTTTCCTAGCTTGGTCTGTAAATTTACCGATTGTGTTCTTTTTCCCGATCGTAAAAATATAAAAATAAGGAGATGTGATATGATTGCCAATGAGTTAACTCTCACCCAGAGACCAAATGACGTATAAGTTAGCAACTATAGGTCACCGTACGGCCTTCAACAATGAGCAAAATTCATACCGCATAGGAAGCTATAAAAGGTCCGAAATGACAAATGTAAAACAATTCAAATGAAAACACGAACGGCCTGATTCAAGCACAATACAATAACTTCAAGTAAAATATGATACACAGCAACAAACGACAACTACTGAATTACAGGCTCCTGACTTGGGACAGGCAAATACATCATGTGACGGGAATCAGCATGTTTGCGAGTGCCCAACCCTATCTAATACATTGTAGGGACCTTCAAATGTTCAGACGAGGGATTAAATTGAGTTGTGGTAAGATATATGACTGTTAACTATATGACTCTCTGTAGAGCGCATGGACCTGAATGTATTCGAATATATAATTTCATTCTTGAGGACGTTCGTGTAGAATTTACGTCATACCACCACAACATGTTTGGCTGCTTATTTGGCCGGTACGAACACAAACCGCTTTGCGAGAACTTCAAGTTTGTTTCTTATTCTAGAAATAGACATATTTATGAACCCTTTTATCTATAATAAGTCTGGATTCGCTTGCCGGCATAGCAGAAGACGCTTATCTTGCGGACACATCCGGTCTCGCTCGGTTTGGAGATAATAAGTTACCATAATGTTTTTTTTTCTCCTGGTATGTATCTTCAAAAAATGTTGGTTTTTTTTAATTTAAAGGGATAGGCAATTCCGTTACGATAAGTACGCAGCACTAGAGTATACATAAAAACTCTTTCTAACTCTAAGTCAACATATATCCGGATGTAGTGATCCTGCTAACTGTTAACGCTTTTTTTCAGCTCGAACCTTAAAAAAATTAGCTTGTCGTATCTAATACAATTAAGTCATGGCTATCATTCATTGTTTCAACCGCCGATATTTAGACAATGCGTGTCATTTAAACATTTAAACACAACGAATTTAAACCGGGAATTATTACGGGATTTGTTAAACTTTAAAATTTTATATACAAAATTTCTTCTATGAAGTTGTTCTGGAGACTGACCCAAGCAGCCAAGAAGGCCTTGAAACCGCATGACAAGGATACCAAATGCGTTTATACCACTCGCATTGCACGAGAAAGTCAATAAACAATATGTAATCATACAAAATGTATTTAAATGCAAAGACTATTATCACAAGTTAATGATAACTTCGTTGTTTTTTCTGCAAAATTTATTAATAACAATATCACAATTGAAATTCCGTTGTTATATAAAATCAATATAATTCCTTCTCTTTTGCATTTCATCAATACCGGTAAAGACTAAAAAGGAAATACCATGATGAAAAATTGTTTGGAAAAAAAAATGAAAAATTGATACCCTCAAACAGCAAAAGATACAAGTTAGGATTATGATATTTTATAACTTACTTAATTTTGCTAAAGACAGTTCCAAACTTTGTTATTAAAAACTAACTTGTAATTGCATATGCGTTTTTCGTCGGCTTGGTGACGTCTGGAGTATGGCTTCATCATCCAGGTTCTCAGTGAGAATGTATCATCTCCAATCATGAAGTATTGTTTTTTTTTTGTCATCTTACCCTCAAATATTGAGTTCTTCGAATTTTTTTTTCATTTTGTCTTTCAACTGTTTTGATTCTAGCGCCTCTGATGAAAAGCGTCTCTGGCGTGTTAAATTGAAATAGTTTATGTCTGGTTATCTTATAATCACTTTGATTAGTGCTTACATTACCAAACTTATAAACTATCGGTACATGTTAGCTCTCCAAACAAACTATTACCCAATATTTCAAATTGAATCAGTTTTTGTTATCAGGACAATGGATAGAAAAGACATACAAATAAAGAAAATGCAGATAGTATTTAAAGGCATTTCTTTGGTTGACAAAGTATAGGAAGATCATTCCGTCGAATGGTTGATTGTCATTGTTTGAAATCACATAAGAAAGGAAAGGTAAAATGATAAATTATTCATACTTTCAATATATGATACAAGATAATGACAGACACTGTTCGTAAAATGAATATCAAGTTATTGTATATGTTGAAGGTCGATATTATAGTGCTGTTAACTGGCTGTTTCTGTATTGGCCATGTTATAGATTTGAGGTCAGCTGTATTGGCCCCGAGACTCGTAGGGGCAAGGTCCAAAATAAGCAAGAAGTCGAGGAGCATTGAGTACCAAAAAAATCAGAACATTTCCGATTAAAATTGTCACAAAACACGGAACATGATTTAAACTGTTCTTTTTAGCTAATTTTCTGTTACTAATAATGATAGAAATGTTTCTTATGCATAAAGATACGTCCAAAGTTTGGCGAACCGTAAAAAATGCAATCGAAAGTGAATGTACATATCCTGTAAGACATTTTACTGTATTGGACCGGGCTTAAAAGCTGCATTCATTAGAGATGTGCATATCAATAGCTGTTACAATTTAGTTCACATGTATCGTAACACATGTGCAAAACTTGTCGATTTCACTGTATTAAAATTCAAACTGAAAAAACTACAGAAAACAAAACAAATTAATACTTTAGAACTTGAAAAAATTTACAAAATAAGAATGAAATAAAATTTCGCAGAATTCCATGAATGCTCTTGGCGTGTACAACTAACGTCATTTCAACACATAACGCCATACGAACAAAAACTTTCAGGCTGACGTTATGTCGTAACGTGTACGCTTCAAATTCGCGGAAAGTATTGCATTTTAAAAATAAAGTTTTGAGGTAGGTGCTGTTTTATTTTTGATTCTATTGCATTATTCGCACATTTATACATTTAATCAAGACTTTATGACGGCTCACTTTTAAGTTACTGTTGATTTGACGGTAAACAGTAGCTTGCGGAAAAAGATGTTTTGGTTTGGTTTTAAAAGGATTAAACACATTTATTCTAGGGGTTATTTAAAAAATAGTGCATCCAATCCATATACTTATTGGAACTTCTTAGCTTTATATTACAGGGGTTACAATAGAACAGCAACAATCAGGACACCCTTTATTTCGCTTCAGTTTTTTAAATTACTGTATTGGTCCTATTAAGGTGGCTGGGGTGTCTTCCTCCATCTTGGATTTTGAAGTAGCAGATGACAGTTGGTCTAGATCTTTAATGAAATGTGCAAATTTTGAGAGTAGTATGTAGTTCATGTGTAAGACTTTTCATGTTAATATAGAAAATTATGTGTTTTATCATATTTACGGCTGTATTTTCTAAAAAAAACACAATATTTTTGTTTGATTCATTTTTGTTCAACATTGCCACATTAGGGGAGGTAACTCAGAAAGTAGGGGAGACAACTCAGATAAAGTAATTTTTATAATAGAAAGTGTTGTGAATTTACCTATTTTAATATGTAGCAAGAAAACAAGTCCGGTGACCCCATTTTTTCTTTTTCTTATCTGAAAGCATGTTATAAGAGCTATCTTCTCACATTTTATCTTAAAATTCTATGGTGTAGTTTTCTTTTTATCACACAAAATTGGATTTTCCATGCATAATCTATACAAAATCTGACAATTTTGCAGAACCTGTAGCGTGAAAAAAAGTCCGGTGACCCATACTTTTTATTATATTTTGGAAAAAAGCATGATAAAAACTACATTTTGACAAATTATTAAAAAATTCTATGGATTTAAATTAAGACCCTCCGTCCACCTTAAAATCGAAATACGTGATGTAAGCTAATAGATAAAACAAACAATACACAATTAAATCTCGATTTAATAAATGAACACATTTTAAAGCTTGTTATAAGTCAGTCAAAAAGCTTTGGCAGTTGTTATTTCTGCTGTTGCTACCACCAACGTGTAGAAAGCATATCGCTTATCTAGGAAACATACATTTGTCACCATTCACTACATGAATTATTGATCTAGTAGTCTGAAAGTCTTTAGATATAGAATATTACAGTATTATGAATAAATCCAATACATATGGAGTATTTTCTATTATGTTGCTTATAAAATATTTTGTGAAATTCGAGAGGCATAAACTGTATCATCAATAAGTTATCTAACACTAACATTTTATCAGAAATATATATTGAACACCATTTTTGATTTTCAACCTTTTTCATTATGACTAAACTTGACAAACTCATGAACATTTTATTGGAAAATCGAAGCAGTCTATTGAGCTTATTTATTTCTTAACGGAATGGATCATGAAATTCTGACCATAAAGTGAGTTATTTTTTATATTGTTTGACATGCGTCAATGACTTACTAATCATTTTGATTTATTTATATTATTTCTAATACATGTCTATTCTTTTTACCCTAATATCACCACTCTTACTTTTGAAGAATACACATATGATGTAAACTTTTTTTGTAATGGTGATGTAAACAAAATACAAATGTAAGTGTATTGCAGTTGAGTACAGAATATGTACCAGAGACTTCAATACCATGATACAGAAGGTATTCGATATGAACTGATCATCTGCTGTTTTATTTACCTGCTCTACAGTTAAGTTCTTTGTTTGTCAGATTTAGATGAAACAATTAACATAAGCGAAACATACATGATATGAAGTGTAAAACTACGTTGCCAATTTCGTGTTTCAAAAGTCGAACATGCTTCTTTGTATGGTTATATTCAATTAAGTTGTCTTTTAAAAAGTTCGAAAATAATGTCTAATCGATTGTTCACTATCAAATAACAAAAATAAATTTCATAAAAGAAACATTCAAAATATCAAATGCATTTTAGTACCATTGCTCTTCTGTGAAATTTTACATAGCAAACATTTTGAATAGTTTCAAAATTTTAACCTTTGGAACCAATAAAAGAAACTAATGAAAATATACTATTTTCAAAGTTTGGAATCAATAAAAGGAACTAATAAACATATACTATCAAATTGCAATTTGTTTTACATAAAAATAGATTGGATTGTAATGTTTGATAATACGTAATCTACACATTTGATTTCAGTATAATCAATACTGCAATTTAAACCAAGTGTTTAATTATATTCTTAATGGACCAAAGTAAGTGTTGGTACTTAAATTCCAATTTCCATTGGTGACAATAAATTATGGATTATTCCTTATACAAGTCTTACGAATTTCATTGTTTCCCTTATTTTACACACTCGAACGGTCTATTGTATAAATTATATACGACATATACACACCAGACTTAAGCTAGCGACCACTTACAGCGACCAATCAAACTAGAGACCAATTACAGCGACCAATCAAATTAGCGACCAATTCAATCGACCACTAAAGTTAGCAATGAGAATCAAATTGTCAAAGAATCATAATGCGGTATGTGTGAAAACCACAAAACCCCATTATGAAAAAACGTTCTGTTAAAAAGAAATTCCAGCTACCAGTACGATATATATTGTTTTTTAACTTTTAAATGACCAGAGAAATCCAGCATTTGAAATGAAAGTGGGACACATCAACACCAATGACGTCTGTAGCTGAATGCATTAACTAACTTGATTGCTAAATGCCGACATATTGATATCAATGAGTAAAGAAATATATAGTTTCAGTAAAAAAAAACGTTAAAACATCTTAATAAAGCCTGTGTCAGATGTATGATGTTTGATGAAATTCTGTATATGTCTATTATTAATACAGTCTTTGTAAATGAACTATTTTTATCTCGCTGCATCCAAACACATACTAAATATTATCATACATGTATCTATATAAATGAAAGTGCGCCCCCTCCCCGGATTTTACATCATCGGGAAAGGGACAAGTTGGGAAAATAACCATATTATGACGTCTTCCTGTGTTTTCCAAACTCTAAACCTATCATATTGTAAACTTGTATCAATTATTGCAAATAAAATATTAAAGACGTCTATCTCCTATGAATATAATAGCTATATAATAGCACATGGCGGATCAGAAATGAGAATAAAAAGTAAACACATTGAATTAAAAAAAAAACCAGAATATTTCTCCATGATGATTTGCTCGCACAATCATTTTCCATATGAAGTGAACCATAAAACTTGTTTAAAAATGTTGATTTTGGCATTTGATTCAGAAAGATCACGTTATAATGAACATGTGTACTAAGTTTCAAGTTGATATGACTACAACTTCATCTTCAACTACATTAATTAATAACGTTAACCTAATGCAGTATGAATGGACGGACGGACGGCTAAAGGAACGGACGAACGGATAAACGGACAAACGAACGAACGAACACACAGACCAGAGAATACCATGCGCTTAACTATCATAGGCCGAGCATAGAAATATATATTTAATGTGAGTTGACTTAAACTTATTCCTTAATACAATGTATATGCTTTCAAATAAATGAAATAAGGAAAAAACTATGTGCGATAGAATTACTATATACTGGCTTTCCATACACTCGACATCCTCATATATCCTGTATTTTTTAGAAAAGGAACTTTTAATGTCTGTTTCCTGTACTAAATATGAAAACATATGGAAGAACAAACTGTAAGAGTGTATCTCATGCCGATAATAAGTACTTTCAAATGAAATTATACGTGCACTATTTTGTACGGCATGCACCCTTACTTGAAAGAAATGTTTCTGATTAAAATAAAATGTACACTTTCAAAAATAACTTTGAACCCCTACAATTCGCGAATGGGCATAACTCCTAAAAAACATTTCAGTGGGACCTTCCCTAAGTTATTACCTTTCATTTAAGCAATGTCCGGTAAAGAACTTTGCCGTACGGAGCTGACGAGGCTTACCAAAAGAGTAGGTGAGACACGTAATTTTTTTTTACAGCAACTTTGAACCCCTACAATTCCCGAATGGGCCTAACTCCCAAAATAACATTTCAGTGGGCTATTCCGAAAGTTATTACCTTTCATTTGAGCCTGTTTGGTAAAGAACTTTGCCGTACGGAGCTGGTGAGGCTTACCGAAAGAGTTTAGGATGGACACGTAATTTTTTGTACAGCAACTTTGAACCCCTACAATTCCCGAATGGGTCTAACTCCCAAAAAAACATTTCAGTAGGCCCTTTCCTAAGTTATTAACTTTCATTTGAGCCATGTCCGGTAAAGAACTTTGGCGTACGGTGCTGGCGAGGCTTACCGAAAGAGTGTAGGGTGAACACGTAATTTTATTTTTACAGCAACTTTGAACCCCTACAATTCCCGTATGGGCCTCACTCCCAAAAAAACATTTCAGTGGGACCTTCCCTAAGTTATGTCCCAGAAGGTTCTAACCCACAAAAAAATATTTTAGTGGGTCCTGCTCTGATTTATTACCTTTCATTTGAGCTATATCCGATGGTCAGTAATTTTTAACTTCGTTTGGTGAACTATTTTTAAGGACAGGTATGTCATTAGCTTTTTGCCATTTACTCGGAAATTCAGCTTTCCTTAACGACATATTAAATAATTAGCAAAGAGGATAACATGTCAAATTCAGATGCTTTAGAAGGATTTAGAACATTCAAGGCATCCTCAATTTCTGTTTCCAATTTCGTTTAAGTTGTTAACAGCATCGTTAAGGTTACTTAGGTTATCGGCCTCTACGTCGTCTAAGTTAGATTGTGAAGCAAAGTAAGAGTTGAATTCATTTGCCTTTTCAATATCATCAAAAATTAATGTTCCATTCCTTTGAATGGTTGGTATACCATTATCGCTAGGCTTAATACCAGAAAATTGTTTAACTGTTTTCCACCAGTTAGTGCTAGACGGATTACCATTCATAATTTTGTTTATAAGGTTATTATTGTAATCTTCTTTAGATTTCCTAACTAGTCTAGTGACTTTGTTTCTTATTTTTTTTAAATTCATTCCAGTCAGATTGTTTATTGAATTTATTTTTTTCTATTCTTTTTCCTAATATTTTTTTTAATATCATTTTTTAGCCATTTGTTTTTCCGAACTGTTATAGTTTTATTGGGGATACTTATAGCAGCTGCTTTAAGTATCATGGCGTATTTGTTATGTTCTCGGTTACTTCGTCTACGCTGTCAGATGCCATTAGCGTGTCCCAGTCAACTTCACCTTATGCACTCATACAGCGTGTTCTTCTTTATGTTTTCATTTTTAGTATAAGAAATAAACATTAAAAGTTCCTTTTCTAGAAAATAAAGGATATTTGAGGATGTCGAGTGTATGGAAAGCCAGTATGTAGTAATTCTTTCGCACATAGTATTTTTCTTATTTCTTTTCTTTGAAAGCATATACATTGTACAACGGAACAAGTTTAAGTCAACTCACATTAAATATGTGTAAGACTCTAAAGTGCGATGGTACTCTAAAGTGCGATGGTCACGCTAAAGTGCGATGGTCTACGCTAAAGTGTGATGGTGTCTCACGCTAAAGTGCGATGGTTGTTTGTTTGCTAAAGTACGGTGGTATATCAAGCTAAAGTGTGATGGACCAAAAGGGTAAGGTTCGAGGGCTTTAAAAACGTTAAAGAACATAAGTTGTAAAAATAGTCCTTCTGTAAAATCTAGTATTCTAAGGTATACCATATGTGATAGGCATTATAATCTACTGGTAGGCTGAAGTGATTGTTTCTAAATTTAGAAGACCGACCACGTAATAATTGCTAAAAAGGTAATTTAGGTGTCACAAAATACTATATTTCTTTTAAATGAATTTTTAACAATTCGGGCGTATTAAATATTGTGATAATTGGCGTAGCTTGCCATTCACACGGTCTATCACTAATGGGAACACCTCCCCTAGGCCTTACAGTCGTCAGTGTAAATTACAAATACAAAATTCGATTATTGTAGTAATATGTAACATTTATTTGTTTAAGCTTTAATTTAAATGAGAGAAAAGGGCGATGTTCGCCGAGTTGTCTCCTTTTCCGTAGCGACTACACATACATGTTATATTTTCCTATAATGTACAAACTAATATTTTAGCCGACAATTTATAATTTACGCATGCAAACATGTACCTTTATTTTACCGATGTTACTTTTTAAAGCGACAATATTTTAACGGGGACCGCAAAGTAAACTGCAACATAAACAATGATTTAAAGGTATCTGTTCGCTTCCAATAAAAGCACGATACAGGATATTTATGCGAATACTATTTTGTATCTAAATAGTAAAATGGTCGACTGCAGGATACAAGTTCTTCTTCCAGCCACCGTAAAAAAACACATTTTCTTCAGACGTCAAAGCACGGTTAGGTTTAAATTAACTATTAATAAGTCATTGACATTTGGTGTAACAGTTGTT